TCGCCTCAGATTTTTCGAGCGAACATAGCGGATGCGCGGTTCGTTGTTCATCGTTTAGAGCTAGACCCGCGCGGCTCGTTGCGCTGTCGGGAACAAATCGCGCGGCTTTAAAATAAATTCCGTCGTTAACGTTCGCTCCGTTTGCCCCTGTGCCCGTTTCCTCGTGCGATCGCTCCGTCGAAATTACGGCGGCGTGACCGGCGATCCCGCAGTACCTTTCACGTTTCTCGGAACGATTCCGCGCGGATACTGCGCCGGCGAAAAGACGCGCAGGGCTGGGGCCGGGGGCGAGGGCTAAACAGGGACTAACGAGGTCAGGGTGGGAACATAAGTGAGTGCCGTGAGGCCTAAACACACACGCGAAGACGGTCCATCAATCTGGCCCGGAGTCAATATTGACTCGGCTGGGCCTCGTTGCAAAGAGGGCATCATCGAGCTGCGCATCGAGCGACCAGGAGACCGACCGGTCCCTTTTCTTCTCGCCAGGACACGCGTGACAAATGCTCCGTCTGCAAACACCGGCGCATCTGTGTCCACAGGATAACCGATTCCCTCTCCCTCCCTCCGCTTCCTTCTGTCTTTATCCCTCCCTCGGGCCGAGTCTATAAATCGTCGTCGAAGAGCGCGCAACGCTGCACGGAGGTCCTCGACGGCGGCGGATATTCGACTTCCCTCGAAACGGCCAGCCGTGTTCCGGGCTTTTTCCGTCCGTTCGTCGGATTGCGCAGCGGCTCGCGATTTCCCAAGACGCGACGCTGCATTCTCGGATTTTTTTCTGCAGACGCGTTTAATTTGCCGCCGCCCGTTGGCGGCCGCTTCGTTTCTTTCGCCGGGAAGCACGGCGTGTCCGCTCCTCGATTCTTCTCACACTTCCCCTTTGATTTCGTCGGAACGGTAGCGGCGATAAAAGCGCTGCAAGTCGAGACGGAGATTCTGAATATGGACAGGCGCGATAAATCCGAACGAGTCCGCTCTTTTTCCCCGTGGCCGCGAAAAAAGGCCATTGGTCAATCTATCGTCGCGATCGCGTGCCTTTCCTCCCGGGCCCGGGCCCCGGGATCTTTCCTGGGGGGAACGGGAGGGGGGGCGAGAGAGGAGCGTTCTTACCGGGCAACCAGAAGAAAGGAACGACACGAGGAATCGCGACGTTACGTGTTCCCACGTCGACGCGACTGTTACATTGTGCATATAAATCGCGTCATAAAACGCGTGTACCCGGGGCCCCGATCGTGCCCGTACAACCGAGTCATACTGGTTTTCCAGAGCCGGCGATACACGGCTCGCCCCACGACCGTTTCCACCCGAGGACTTCCAGTTTTTTTCCGGCCGCCGGGCCGCGCCGCGCCGCGCAGCCCGGCATCGGACGTCCATCGATCATCCATCGCTGGCTCGTTGCCGCGCGAGCTTCGATATATCGGTTTTTCGTCGGGCCGCAGGACACAGGTATGCGAAGCTACCGATGCCCTTGCCCGTGAGCGGAATCCCGGAGAATTTTCTGCGGATCCGGCACGAGGTGTCATCCGATACCAGTTCTTCTCCTTTTGATAGCTCCCCCGTGCCATCGTTCCGTGAAAATCTCGTGTAATCCCGTAGACGCGCGTTAGTCCTTGGTACGACACTTAGAATTTTCAATCGATTCCACGGAACCATTCACCGCAGCCTCTACTCGTTTAACGCAAAGAATCTTTATTCTTCTCCAACATGTCGAAACGTCTTCATCGCAAATTTTCCTTTCCCTCGAAGCTCCCAACGCTTCTTCCTTCCATTTCCGCGAACAGGCTACCAGAATCTACTAGTGTAACCGAAGTCGGCGAAGTTACTTCCTTATTGAGAATTCTCTTACGTATCATTAGCGGAGGGGTCCCGAGGTTAAAGACCAAGGCAGCGCGGAGTTCTCACTCGCGGAACCCGGTTCCACGCGAACGAGACAAGCCGTACGCCGAAGCTGTTGACCAGGACCATAACCGTAGCGCGAGAGGTATACCGGCGGCGTGTCCCGTCTCCCGTTTTCCCGCGGTCGCGCACAGCGCCCCTGGGAGAAATCGTGGCGCAGGCAATTAGCATGCTCGCCGGAACAAACGAGCGAGCGTATCGGGCCGATGCCTCGATATATCGATCCCCCGGCGTACGAATAATTATCACCGGCTACCGACGCGAGGGAACAGCGCCGAGGAGCGAGGAAGATGAAGGAGCACGGTGGGAGCCGTCGGTCCTTCGGCACGGGGGGACGCGCAACGCCTCGGACGCTACTTTAAAGGCGACGACGCCAGCAACGCCACGGGGCCCGGGGTGATATAGTTGCCGGGGCCGGGTTCGCTGCACACGGTTGCGAACCGGCGTTGCAGCACCTCGATGCGATCGCGTGGAGTAACTCAGGGACTCGCCGGCTGCTTCCTCCCGGGCCCTAGGACTGAATTATGGCCCGTGGCCTCGGACACTCGGCAACACGCTTCGTCGTTTAACCCCTTGCCCGATCCCGGGGCCCCGAAGCGCATTCTTGCCGGCAGTCCTCTGCTTTTCTCGCGAACCCGTGGAATCTTACGAGCACCGGTGAGAACGGCTGCCCCGGGCACAGTATTTCTGCCGCGTTGCTGCTCTT